GGGACAACGCGTTCGATGACGCGCAGTTTCTCCCAAAGGTACCCGAACGAGACCGTGCCATTCAACTCGCCAAAGCTGATCTGGAAGGGCAGGTACGATATCTGATGAAGGCCCCCAAGCGGAGAGCTACTCCACCGTGGGGCGTGTACGCAGAGGCGATGTTGCAACTACTGTCCCCGACCTACCACAGCGCAGAAGACCAGGCAGGCAACTAGGAGGAAGTGGGCATCACGCCAGAGGCATCTCTTCACGATTACCAGTAGTTTATAACGTTGGTGAGGGAGGCGGACGAGGTGCCGCTCAGTTTCATTCGATCGCAGATGTTCGCACAGAGCAAGGATAACGGAGAGCTCGGTATCAAGGGAAAGAGACTATTACAGTGTTTCGATTCTTGCAGCATGAGTTGGTTCGGCCAGTTGGCTCAGAGAGTCAGGGCCCAGCCAAAGCATCCCGCATTCGCACATGGAGGGATAACAGGAAGACGACGAGAGGGAGCTATATTAGTATTGAGCAATGCGACATGGTGATGTAGGGACCTGAATCTGAGCCACATCACGAGCAACTCCGACGGCGCGAATGCGTTCGCTAGCACTGACAGGGAGCACTCGAGGACACTACATTGCGCGCAGCACTACGAGCACAATATCGAGCTGGCTAAGCAAGCGATCGATAACCTAGTCGTGCACGCGGACGGGATCGATGGCAACATAGACATGAAACCAGCAAGGGACACTACAATGGGGCATGCAATGGCCGCTGGGGATTTTATTTCAGTATATACGTCGCAAGTTAATAAGGGAACGAGCAACTAGCTGCGCATGGTCACACATACACGTGGCTGCAATGCGACAGCGTGCTGAAGAAGGAAGACGGGATGGGAGTAGTCGAGCAGGTGGAGGACTTAGGGATCGGGCTGTATGTAGATGACATATCCAGAGTACACACACATGCACACGACGCATCACCGAGCGCCATGGAGTTGCAGCAAAACGCCGCAACAAGCAAGCTGAGCACATGCACCGGGGAGACGGGGCACACGTTGAACGACAACAAAACAAATCACATCACGAATGTCATCGGGAAAGGGTCACTTGCAGCAGTGAAAACATTGGCAGCTTTTAGAACGGTCGTAGGCAGCATAGTTCGAGAAGCACGTGTATTAGGACCTACGCTCACCTTCGACGGCTGCCTGCGTGCCGAGCTCCGAGGACGCATTAGGGCAGCGAGGGCGGGGTGGAGATCGATGGGGAAGATTTGGTCAGAACCATTGCCACCTCGCATGCTACGGCTTCTTTTCATTGCACATGTGCAGAGCGCGGGTCTGTCAGGGCTCGTAAGGTTTGTGTTTCCACGCAGCTTCGCAGGCAAGCTCGACGTGGTATTCATCAGATACTTGCGCGTGCTCAGCCGAGGGGCGACAGTCGAGATATATGGCAAGGTTCGAGGCGAGAGGCATGCGCAGGTGTTCGCGCGCCACAAGCTGTCGCGAGTCGCTGTGGAGCTCAGAATTCAGAGGATCAGGTGGTATCAAAAAATGTCTCGGTACCCCCAGAAGAACTCCCAGGTCCTGGCGGGCATCTTCGGAAGCACTCGGATGGACCTAGCAGTGAACAGGCCACGCGCGGGGCCAGCAGGAGACCTCAACGAGTCTAGCACCCCCTGGGCCAAGCAGGTTCACAGCGACCTTGAGATTTTCGCGAAGATCGACCCAGCTTCTCAGGTTGCACAGGCATGGAACTCGAGAGAGGGGCTTTAAGATTTCTTCACAAAAGAAGAATTTCGAAAGGTGTTCTATGGGAAACGTCCTGAACATATCAGACATGTGTTTAACAGGCACTACGAGACGGAGGAGAAGGAGGGAACCTACGAGGGGATCGAGCATATGGAGGGGGAGGAGGGCGTGCACGAGCACGTGTGCACGCATGAAACACCGGAAGGGGATGTTTGCGGGAGCGTGCTCACGACGATGAGGGCCCTGACGGGCCACCTGAACAAGACGCGCAAAATGAGGGAGCTTTACTCTATGTTGACGACGACGAACGTGCGCCCGTGGTGTCGAAAGGTCTGTGCATCCAGGGCGAGTTGCGTGAGGCACGTTTGGGCCATGTCACGAGCGAGCCCCATGCTATGTCCGACCAGAGCCGTTTCGTTCGAGTTTGTGCCGACAGAGGCAGCGAACTATCAGTGCGCACTGTACAGCCACAACACCTCAGAGCTTCCCTCACATCTTGATCACGTCAAGCAGCACGCAGCAGGGCCGCCTGCACATGTCGTGGATGATAGGCCGACCAGCGCAAGGGGCGGCAGGAGTGGCCCGCACCCGGCGTGCAGCGGTGCGGGGGGCGGCAGCTCAAACGGGCCCGAGGCAAGGGGGCTGGAGCTGGCCCAGACGAAGATGCGGATGCGACGATTCACGGGCGGATGTTCACGCTACAGAAGCTGACGCTCAACAACACGCAGACGCTGCGCATTCTGATGGGGGCGCTTTGGGACTGCCTCATCATCCCGATGACCCACCAGGTGGCGACAGAGGGCGTGAGGATGGGCCAAGAATATCACCGACTGAGTACCGAGGAGAAGCGCAAAGACCTGGGACCACCGCATCTACGCATCTTCGGGTGCGCTGTTCCCATGCTCGCGAAGACGCAGGTCTTGCCAGACGATACCAAGGGGATCCTCGAGCCATTCGCAAAATTAATGACGGCGATGGGCCGCGAGGAGCTGAACGACCTGGCGCGCTACTTCCGCATCAAGAAGACGCACGACGAGGACAACCAGAAGGCAGACCAAGCCAAGCTGCACGTCATGCTGAGCCCGGTTGCCATCAGCCCGTTTCACAGGCCCCAGCTGATTCAGAGGTACAAGGAGAAGACAGGCGACCAGTCGGAGATGCCCAACGCCACGATCGCCGAGATTCGGTTGCACATCATCAAGGGGCTGGTCGCCAGCGGCGGCATCGTGAAGATAGGGGGCCCACCACGAGGAGCACTGGAGCGAGCGGTTCAGGCAGCGGTGCAGGAACAATCGATTTAGACGGCTTACGACACATGGCTCATGCAGGCAGCGAACGAGCTCGTCAATTGCTCCGAGATCTCAAGAGACAGGGGGGATGAGGCGAAGAGACGGCTTCCGATGATTGCCACGCCTTCTCGAGCTTGACGATGAGAGGTGAGGGCATCTTGAGCCCCCTGCGCTGGACGCTGTTTGAGCGTTCGGTTCGTGTTGTTTTCTTTTATGTCCTCTCTGCCTCGGGGCCGTTTCCTGGGCGAGATGGGCAGACCGAGAGGTAAATCACATGCTGCCCTTTTCTTGCTGGATAGTTGCTGACAGGGTCGTGTGTGGGGGGGGGGGGGGGGGGGGGGGGGGGGGTGAGCGGAGCGAGGGGAGGGGTGGAGTGTGGACGGACGACCTAGACACACGAAGGCGCACACGCAGCTACTTTTCTAGCGGTCCGACGGGATCGATGCATTGTTTTCGCTCTCGACGGCCCCGAGTTCCTTGGGGCCTCCCCCCGCACCCGTCAGCCCTGAGGTTGAGGTGATGGGCCCAAGCGCTCTAAGCCTCAACCCACAGCGAGTTGAATGAAGTGTGGTGCGCCTTCGTGCTAACTTGGGCTTTGAAGGTCCGCGATGGGCTATGAAGTCCCGCAGGCGTGCTCGAGATGCGCATCGAGTTTACCAGCAGCTACCGTCATGGCTACAGGCCTTACCCCTAAGAGGTGAGCCGCGCAGCGAGAGAAACCAGCTGCCAAGGTCTTGCTTGCTTGCTTGCTCCGCCTCCTCCTTATCCTCCCCCTCCTCCTCCTGCTCCTCCTCCTCCTCCTCCTAATCTTCTTTCTCCTTCTCCAACTCCTCCTCCTCCTCCTCCTCCTCCTCCTCCTCCTCCTCCTCTCCTCTTCTCCTCCTCCTCCTCCTCCTTCCTCCTCCTCCTCCTCTCTCCTCCTCCTCCTCCTCCTCCTCCTCCTTTTCCTCCCTCTAATCCTCCTTCTCCTCCTCCTCCCCCTCCTCCTCGTCCTCTTCCTCCTCCTCCTCCCCCTCCTCCTCCTCTTCCTCCTCTTCCTCATCGTCAAGTATTCAATATGAATACAATTCTTCTCTCCCCTAGGTGACGTCCGGGAAATGTCCGGTACCTCTCCGCGTACTGGTTCCTTACACAGGAATCCTGGGAGCTGGGCTTTCGCTTGAGTTTATCGGGCTCCTGTTCGGGCTACCGCTCGTTCCGAATCGTGCTCCCGCTGCAGCGCTGGCGTCATTTCCGCGCTTCCCCTCGTTCCGAATCGTGCTCCCGCTGCAGCGCTGGCCTCATTTCCGCGCTTCCGCTCGTTTCGGATCGTGCTCCCGCTGCAGCGCTGGCGTTATTATTTCCAGCGCCATGCCACGGCCCGGTTTTCGGTCCTTCCAACTCGGCCCCAAAATATGAAAAATTACCCCCCGAAGCAACCATCGTAAGCGATTCCACATTCGGTGCCGATTCGTGTATTTTGTGGGGCCGCAGAAGCCCCCCCCCCCACTTCGGGGCTTCGCCACGCCATGCTATGTCAGGCTGCGCATCCTCCGAATCGCGTTCCCGCTGCGGCGCGTGCCTCATTTCCGTGCTTCCGCTCGTTCCGAATCGTGTTCCCGCTGCAGCGCTGGTGGGAACAATGGTGGGGACAATGGGGACAGTGGTGGGAACAATTGTGGGGAACAGTGGGGACAGTGCCCGACAAGCAGGCAGGCGAGAGGGGGGACATACTTGGCTACCCCAGCAGGCAGGCGTAGACAGGCGCAGGCAGGCGAGTGGGGGACAGAGGGCGGGAGGGCCAGGAGGAGAAGAGAGCAGGCACCCCACTGATATATTCGTCACGAGAATCCAACCATTACCAGCCTGGAGCATATCCCTATCCTTATGTTTGACATCACCTCACCTCGATGCCGATCTTAAGGATTCCCTCAGTTTTTGAGGGCCTATCCTTAAGATTGTCCTCGCTTTTTGCTCTCCCATCTTTGGGATAGTGATACGTTCGAGGCTGGTTAAACCAAGGGAGGGTTGGGGGAAGCATGGTTGGATTCTATGTTCGGGTCGGGCGCACGCCTCCAAGGAGGACGCGCGCACAGGACCAGCATGTCCTCGCGCGCCCCATGGCCGCCGCGCGCACAGGCCCGCCGCCGCGCGCGCGCCCTATCGCGGGCCCCGCGAGCGCCGCGGCGGCCGGGGAGCGGGGCGCCTCTCTGGCCGCCAGGTGGGCTACCAGGCGCCGCTCACGAGGCCGCGCGGACCCCCCTGGGCCGGCGTCGCGGGTCGAGGCTCGAGTCGAGTCGGGGGCTGGGGTAAAACAGGGCTAGGATCGGGATAAATCGCTCCAGAGCGTTCCGGATCGCTCTCAGAGCGTTCCGGAACGCTCTGGAGCGGCCGCGGCGCCCAATGCATCCTCCAAACCCGCCGATTCTCAGAGATTTCGAGTTATCCCGATCCGATTTTGTCCCGATCTTCGCGTCGTTTTATGGGGTCAAGCAGTGGCGAAGCGTCCTGGCTCGCCTATATAGCCCCACCAAAGAAGGTTCTGAGAACCTCTTGCGGTTCCCACGAGCTGTTCTTAGAGCATTTCTGGCGGAGTCTGTCTTGTTTTTATCACATCGGGCTTCTGTTCTAAGAAACTTGTTTTGGTTCGTAGAACATGTTTGGGTTCTAAGAACATGTCGTGGTAGGCCTAGGAATGCCGGGACGGTCAGTCCCTGCTCAATTCGGGAGCAATGCAGACGGGGGTCGGCCGGAGCGCCGGTTCTTGTAGAATCCTGCGGGGCCAGGGGTGCACTGACCAGGGCCTGCGTGCAGGATCCCGCGGGATCCTGCAGGATCTTGCAGGATCCTGCAGAGCCTGACTGGCCAGGTTTTGTATTGACCCGGGTCAGTGTATCCCCGATCGAGGATCCATCGGTTCGATCGACATGAGCAGGGACAGATAGGTACGAAAGCCGGCAGCCTTTATTGTTCGTTCGGGACAGAGTTCGTTGCCGGTGTCGCAGCGGACGTGGTCCATTTGAGGAATATGGCCTCCTGCCCAACAGCGGCTGCTGTCGGCTTTGGACAACACTTGTTGTTGGACAGCGTGCTAATTATTCCGTACCCTCTTCGGGTGCCCCGAATCACGGGCAGCATTAGGGGCGGATCAGGATCAGGGGGAGCGGTATCGACCCCCGTTCGCCCACACAGCGCTGGGAGGTGCACGATACCCCGTCCCACCCAGCAGCGTGCTGGCTAGCCATCGGCGGCCTATCGCCGATCTGTCATCGGTGCGTCACCGCTTCCAGCGGTGCTCCCCCCCCGTGAGCCAGTCCCTCCCCCCCCCCCCGTCGTCACGTCTCCGCTCCAGGAACCAGGAGGAGGGAGGAGGGGGAGGAGGAGGAGGAGGAGGAGGAGGAGGGGGGGGAGGAGGAGGAGGAGGAGGAGGAGGAGGAGGAGGAGGAGGAGGGGGAGGAGGAGGGGGAGGGCGTCGGAGTTGTTCAGCAGCTTCCGTTGGTTCTCGTCGGCCTCCTCGCCTCGGGCTGCCTGCCAGCAGCTGCGCCCCGCCGAGAGCGCCCTCGGGCCGCCGGAGGCCTGAGCCGCTGCCCGAAAGCCGCGAGGTCCGAGGGCCCATGGTGTTGGACGTCTCGTGGCTTCTGTGGGGGCCTTTTTTGGCCTGGTGGAGCTCGAGGAGACTAGCGGGGAGGAGGAAAGATAAGCAACAGAGGACGCCCATTTTCAGTATGTGCACCGGCATGAAGTTGCTGTGCACATCATTCGAGCACGCGGCCTCGGTGGAGGCCCCTCGTCGCCACGGGCCGGGTGCCCTGCGAACCCCCCAAGCCACGACGGGCCCGCGCAGCGAGCAGGCCGGGGCAGCGGAGGTCTGGGCATCGGCGGCGCGCAGGGGGGGAGGAGGAGGAGGAGGAGGAGGAGGAGGAGGAGGAGGAGGAGGAGGAGGAGGAGGAGGAGGAGGAGGAGGAGGAGGAGGAGGAGGAGGAGGAGGTGGAGCGGTGCTCTGGAGGTGGGGAAGGGGTAGGGTATAGAGGGGTGTGGTGTTAACTTCATGTCAAGGGGACTCTGGCGAGGTGATCTATCGCAGACAGCCCCTGCCACTTCCACGAGTGGCACCCCATACCCCTCTATGTCGCATCCCTTTTCCTACCTCCAGAGGTGCGAAGGAGGAGGCCGGGTCAGGCTCGGCCACGGGGCTTTGTCGGCGGCCGCGGCGCTGACCCAGGGGGCATGAGGGTCCACAGGCTCAGAGAGTTCGTTCGTTCTCAGAAGTCGGCGTCGGCAGAGTTCATTGTGCCGACCCCCTTTTTCTGGGGGCCGAGTCAAGAGCTGGCCCTGCCAACCAACCGTGGGGAATCATAATGACTTCGACGACGATGACAATGGCGATGATGATGATGATGATGATGATGATGATGATGATGATGATGATGATGATGATGATGATGATGATGATGCTGATGATGATGCTGATTATGATGCTGATGATGATGATGATGATGATGATGATGATGATGATGATGATGATGATGATGATGGTAATGATGTTGATGATGATGCTGATGGTACTGATGCTGATGCTGCCCATGATGATGATGATGTTGCTGACGATGATGCTGATGATGATGCTGATGATGATGGCGACAACGATGCTGATGATGATAATGCTGGTGGTGGTGATGGTGATGGTGATGGTGATCGCGATGATGATGATGCTGATAGTGGTGATGATGATGATGAGGATGATGATGATGATGATGATGATGATGATGATGATGATGATGATGATGATGATGATGATGCTGATGATGATGATGATGATGATTCTACGGTTGATGCTGGTATGCTGACAATGTTGGTAACGATGATGTTGATGATGCTGCTGATGCTGACGACGATGCTGCTGCTGATACTGATGACCATGCTGATGATAATGATGGTGGTGGTGGTGATGCTGATGGTGATGATTATGCTCCTGCTGGTGATGATGGTGGTGATGAGGATGCTGCTGCTGCTGATGATGAGGCCGATGCATCTGATGATGGTGGTGCTGTTGCTGATGGTGATGCTGATGATGATGATGCTAATAGTGATGATGAACATGATGATGATGCTGATAGTGATGATGATGACGATGCTTGTGATTATGCTGGTAGTGATGATGCTGATAAGGAGGAGGAGGATGCTGCTGATGATGATGGTGCTGAGAGGAGGGTGGTGATGATGATGATGATGAGGAGGAGGAGGAGGAGGATGATGAGGTGAAGGAGGAGGAGGAGGAGGAGTGTGAGCAGGAGGAGTAGGAGGAAGACGAGGAGGTGCAAGAGGAGGAGGAGGAGGAAAGGTGCGAGACTGAGCAGGAGTAGGAGGAGCCATCTTGGACTGAACAGATGGGGAGGAGGGAGTAGCAGGAGGCCGTATTGGGAGGAAGGCGAGGAGGAGGAGCAGTAGGAGGAGGAGGAGGATTTTGATGATTTGGAGGAGTTGGAGGATTCCGAGAAGGAGGACGCTTGAGGAGGAGGGATCGTTTGGAAGCTTCTTGTGCGGGCCGATTGGCGCGCCCTCGCAGCCACAGGCCGAGCGGAGGCAAGAACCAGGATCGACAGCAAAAGAACCCCCGAACAAGATGACACGATGAGGACGTGGCCTCACTTCGGTCCCCGTCTTCGCATGAGGGATAATGAACCTGGGCTGTTTGGCCTGATTCCGGGGGAACGAAGGATGACATAAAGATAACAGCTCGGAGGTCCGCGCAGATCTCTCAGATCGGCGCTGGGGCCCCCTGGCGGCGATCCGAGAAGTCCGTGCGGACCTTTGACTTTTTCTGTTTGTGCCATCCTTCGCTGCCCTACATCCATCCGCAGACAAGGCCCCCCTCAAGCTTCAGGAAGGGGCGGGAGGGGGAGGGCAGAAGGAGTAAAAGGAGGATGATGAGGAGGAGATGGAGGAGGAGGTGGGGGAGGATGAGGCGGAGGAGGAGGAGGAGGAGGGGGGGAGGAGGAGGAGGAGGGAGGAGGAGGAGGAGGAGGAGGAGGAGGAGGAGGAGGAGGAGAGGAGGAGGAGGAGGAGGAGGAGGAGGAGGAGGAGGAGGAGGGTCCTCGCCGGTCGACGCGACGCGGACTTGCCGTACTTGCTCCGGGCTTCCCGCGCGGAGGGCGCCGCCAGCGGGGCCCTTGGCCGACCCGAGGACTCCGCGGCAGGGCCTCCGAGAAAGGGCGGCGGGTCCTCGCCGGGTCGACCGGCGGCGACCTCAGCGCCGGCGTTCAACGTGGAACGTCGCAGGCGACCCTCCTCCTCCTCCTCCTCCTCGTCCTTCTCCTCCTCCTCCTCCTCGTCCTCCTCCTCCTCCTCCTCCTCCTCGTCCTCGTCCTCCTCCTCCTCCTCCTCCTCCTCCTCCTCCTCCTCCTTATCCTCCTCTTTCTCCTTCCGTAGCCATTTTGGCTCAAGATGCGAGTTCCCCTGGGGCCGAAGTGGATACCGCTAGTCCGCGGCAGGCAGGACTTTTTGAAGTCTGGCAGCTTTTATCACTCACTCTCCCTGCGCTCGGGACGGTGGGTAAACGGAGGCGTTTCCCGTTCCTGTCGGTCCGAACGCTCCCACATCCCGCGGCATGGCGGCTGCCTCTGGCCACCAGCTGTTGTCCCAGGACGCTGCCGCGATCGATGTCTGCCCCACGTTCGCCTCGCAGGATGCCGCGTTTGCGCCCTCCCAGGGCGCGGGCAAGGGTGGTCGCGGTTCAGCTCCTGCTGGCGGTCCTCAGCTTGGCGGCTTCGGCGAGTTCGTCCCTCGCAAGCGTGCTGCTGCTGCTGCTGCTGCCGACGCAGGAGATCAGGAGGGTGATGATGCGTACATGTCCGACGACTACGTACGCCACGTATGCATGGACCTCTTCCCGACCCTCTTGGAGGATGTCAAGGAGGAATTGGCGAACTCTGTTGAGGCTTGCGTCTCCGACCACGTCGCCTCGGCTAACGGCGAGATGCTCGCCAGTTGCGAGCCGAGCTCGCCAGCCAGCCCGCCAAGCTCGACCAGCAGAGATTATCAGGGTGGTTCGGCGTAGTGTGGATGATGCCTCTCGTCGGTTGCAGGAGCAGCTTGGTGTGCGTACGGGCACGTTGCAGGACCATGGTGGGCGTCCCACGTCGGTGGAGGGTGACGTTGGCGAGCTCAAGAAGCAGGTGCGTGAGCTCCGTGAGCAGCTCGCTCTTGCCGAGTCCCGCTCGCGCGAGCCGCTGGCGGTCAGCCAGGGC